AACTGGTCTGCTTTTTCGTTTAATTTTATTCCTGTGTGAGCCTTAATTTTTACTAGTTCTATTTTTATTTCTTTTTTAACTATTAGTTCTTCTATTGTTTGTAGTATATATGGATTTTTATACGATTTTCTTTTTTTCCTTTTTCTCAAATCTATATATCCATTTATTGCCGCAATTGCTACGCTTAAGTCTGTGTTTATTTTTATTATTTTATTTCTTGGAGATATATCTAATAAAACTGCTATCACTATTAATTCAGCTCTAGTTGATGATGGTGGTCCTTGTGTTATTCCTTTGAAAGTTAACACTTCTTTTTTATCTTGTTCTTCTATTTTTATTACTATACCATATCCCATTGCTACTGTTTTTTTATATTGACCTATTAAATTCCCTGGGATTTTCTTTTTGGTATATGACCCGTCTGTATAAGCTTCTATTTTGTTGTTGGTGCAGTTGGTTATTTTTTGTTTTATATTCTTTATTTCATGTATTTTATCTTCTGGGTAGTTTATTATTTTAGCTTTAGGGTCTTTGTTTTTTTTCGTGTTTTCTTGATCTATTATATAATTTGCTTTTGTAAATTGGTTGTAAAAATTAAGAATTAATTGTGGAGATTGTATCATTTTTAGTATTTTTTCTTTATTGTTTGTTTTTCCTTTTTCATTTTTTTTTGGTTCATGCTGCCTTAGATCCAAGTGATATGCTTGTACTTCGTTTGATTTGATGTCAATCATGTGGTTTTGGTGACTTCTTGTTTTTTTCATTTTTTCATTTTCTGGATTTGAAAAAAAGATCACATTCTCTACATGGTTGTAATGGTGATTTGAAATTATTATTGTTATTTTCTATTTGCATATAATGTTCTATTGTTATTGTATTATTTTTATTATTTTTTTTTTTGATTTTTTCTATTAGTGGTATTATTTGTATTTCATTATTTTTTGTTTGTTCTACTTTAATTACTGTGAATTTAGTTTCTTCATTTATTGATTTTAATAGGTTAAATGTATTTATGTAATCATATTGCTGCGCAAAATTAAATTCTGCTTCTAAAAGTTTTTCTTCAAATTTTCTATATCAATATGGTTCTCTTCCTTTATATTTACCCTTTGTGACTTGTGGCCATGTTAGAATTCTAATGTTTTCTGGATTATTATTTATTAATTGGTCAGCGTATAATAAATTATTTCCTTTTAATGTTTTTACCATATTTCTATAATATTGTTTGTCATTTATTATCTGTTCTATAGTAATTATTTCTCCTATTGGTATTATTGGAATTTCATTTTTATATTGGTTTTTTATTATTATTTTATATTTTTTTGATATTTCTAATATTTTGGCTATTTGATTTGTTTTTTTATATATTTTTAGATTTTTTATTTCTTGTTCCCATATTGGTGTTGTAGTCCACGTGCTGTTTTGTAAGGATTGAATTCTTATTCGTGTTGTTTTTCCGTATAAGGATTGGTGGTTAATTCTGTTGTTGAATTCTACTAGACATTGTTTATATATTCTATCTTTGATACTAAATAGTTTGTAACCTAAACATGAATGTATTATAGAATTGGGTATTGTTTTTACTAGATTACATTTGTATTTAAAAGTTGTTCTTATTTTTCTATCTTGTTTATCTAACCATTGTTCTGTTGGTATATTCACTGGTCGAAAATTGATAAAACATACACATATCGGGTACCCGATATGTGCATGGTGTTTTCCTAATATCAGGCATATATCGGGTACCCGATAAGTATAGAAAATATTTTTTTACACTTATCGGGTACCTGATATATATATAAAATATTTTCTACACATATCGGGTACCCGATATATGCCCGATATTAGGGAAACACCATGCACA